CATCCAATTTGTTATGCTAGCAGAAAGTTCCTCCCGGCGGAGTTGAACTACAACATGACAAACTAGGAGGCATTGGCTTCTGTGCATACCGCCCAATTGTGGTAATGTTACTTGGAGGGTACACGTTTCAAACTAGTGATGGATCATTGCCCATTGACTTATCTTAAGTCATAGCCACAACTAAGTAGCCAACAAGCTAGATGGTCAGAAATCTTACAACAGTTTGACTTCGACTGGGAATATTGCCCAGAGCAAAAGAATGTGGCTGATCCACTCTCTTGCATTCCTCCCATACTTGGTGAACAAGAAGCTAGGAGGAAAAGTCAACTAGCTGTTTGTGGCTTGAGAGCATTACGAAAGCGGAGAAATGAACAAAAAGTTAAAAAGGATGGTAGAGGCAGACGATCTAGCCTCCGGGATCCATCAGGCTTATTGCCAAGATCCCCAGCTTGAGTCTCTGAAATAGCAATAAGAATTGCGCTATGCAGATGGCCTCTAGTTATGAGGCGAGCAGGTATATATACCAGCAAGTCTAAGGACTAAAATCTGCTAGTTGGCACATGACCATCCAAGTGCAGGACACTTTGGTTAGGTCAAAACCCTAGACTTGGTCGAGCGGTATTATTGGTGGCCAGGAATGAGATAAGAGGTATAACTATATGTTGACACCTGCCTGGTTTGTCAACAGGCTAAATATTCTCGTCAAAAGACCCCAGGCTTATTACAACCATTTGGCATTCTTGAGGAACCATGGACTGAGTTGTCCATGGACTTCATTACTCAGCTGCCAAAAACTAAGGGAGGTCATGATGCTATTATCGTATTTGTTAATAGACTGACCAAGATGGTGCGCATTGCAGCCACCACAAATGAAGTCTCCGCTGAAGGAGCAGCAGACTTGTTGGTGCAGAATGTGATACGGCACCACGGTCTCCCCTCTATAATAGTGTCTGATAAAGACGTTTGGCTCACTTCCAGTTTTACCTCTACCTAGCGGAGAGGTGGAAAGTGCAACTCAACATGAGCACTGCGCACCATCCTCAAACGGATGGCCAGACCAAAGTCATGAATCGGATTCTGGAGGATTACTTGCATAGTTATATGCGTTCTGATCAAGATGCGTGGGATGAACTAATAGCCATGGCCGAGTTTGCAATAAACAACTGGAAAAATAGTTCAACCCAAGAGACCCCATTCTATTTGAAGTACGGTCGACACCCATGGCGTCCCTTGGCTCTTGGGGTGCAAATTTGGAAGATGTTGAAAGGCTATGACAATCCAAATGCCCACGGCTTGACAGTGGCCATTGATAGGGCACAACAGCCTTAATTAAGGCATGATGGTACACCCCTCATGGAGGGACTACCAACAGTGACACGATTTGATCACTGTGTCCAATCAACGCTGAAAGAGGCTAGGGCATGCTTAGAGAAAGCATGGGATAGGCAGTCAAAGCATGCTGACCGCCACTGGAGGGATGTGTCTTTTGACAAAAGAGATAATATCCTCCTTTCGACATAGCATATCACCCTCAAATATCTTGGAACTCGGAAATTATTACCAAGGTGGATTGGGCCCTTCACCATCCTCGACTGGATAGGTTCTATCGTATACCGATTAGAACTTTTGGAAACAATGAGTAAGATACATCTGTTTTTCCATGTATTGAAACTAAAACCTTATAAGGCTAGTGGCAAAGTACAGCCACCCCCAGTCTCTATCGAGATTGAAGGGGAACTGGAGTATGAAGTTGAACTTATCCTTGATAAAAGGATTAAAAAGCGTGGCCATAGACAGGACTTCGTAGAGTACCTTGTCAAATGGCTGGGTTACGGATATGAACATAACAGCTGGGAATTAGCAAAAGCAATTGCATATGCACAGGAATTGGCTCAAGCATTTGAAAATGGAAGAACTCCTATTGCGAATGTGCAAACTGGTCACAATATGAGATGTACACGCTGATGTGAGCATGTTTGTGCTATTGTTTGTGGCAGGTAATGTTGCAGTGGGTACAAAGGGCCTAGGTCCCACTCACAGTATGGACACATGAATGCAATGTCCATTGCCATCTTGAATGGTGAACGGGTCCAGAGTGACGTTCCGCTGGTGACTACTGCTGGCCATGGGCGTGGTAGAGGCAGACACCCCGGCTACGCACAACATGGATGTGGTCGTGGGTGGATGGCCGGTGGCGGCAGAACCATGGGACGTGTAGGGTGAGCTACATGTTCTAAACATTTTCTGAACAAATGCAGGCCGAGAGGTCATAGAATAGAAACTGCACATTATAGGCAGTGTTGATATTCCAGCCCATAAATTGAAGGAAGAGTTTTAATGAGGGTTGTTAGCAAGAACATTTTCCATGTAACAACCACTCTTTCTCTTCAATATTGGTTTTGCATGTAATACGTGGTTCACTGAGCATGTAGCCAGATGCACAACCAGTTTCCACATACAGTAGGCTCATGAGCCAAGCATGCGTCTACTCCCATATTGATACATGAGGATTGTTGGTGTGGGGCTCCTGCCCTCTTTTGAGCCGCGGATCCACCTTGCCGGGCACCTAGGTCCTTAAGGCGACCTAGGGGGACCACCCTAACCTACTCCCACATCATATACTATAGTATAAGCTGGTTGGGGTGTCGTTGCCATATCTTGGGCAGGGCATCCCCCACACCAAGGAGCCAGTAGTAGGGCATCCCCCACATTGGGCCAATGTGCGTAACACATATCAACGCACTGGGACAGAGACGTCCCACCTCCCTGAGGGGGACGAATGTTATGCGCACCAGCTTGATGTGGGGGACGCCCTACTAATGGCCTCTTGGTGTGGGGGATGCCCTGCCCAAGATATAGTAACAGTACCCAAACCAGAATATATTGTTACTATGATTATATGATATGGGAGGAGGTCGGGGTGGTCCAACCTAGATCCCCAAAAGGACCTAGGCACCCGGCAAGGTGGGTCCGTGGCTCAAAGAGGGCAGGAACCCCACACCCCCAATCTTCTTGTATCAGTGAATCGGCAAATCGTGGAGCAGAGCTGGGTGTAGGGCTGATGGTTGGAGTTCCCAGTGGGAAGAGGTAGTCCATGCCGGTGTAGTTTGACTGGGCAGAACACCATGGGCGCAGGGACTTAGTGGTAGAGTTTTGGGTACGGACACAGGCGGAGGTTCAGTGTGAGTGGGAAAGGGTCACGACAGGCTACAGGGGTATTTAATCAGTGGTTGACCGACAGACAGTGTCTCATTGTCGAACAAGCCTGGGCCACCTGTAACTGGTGCAGTTTAATTACTATGTGTGCCTCCCGAGAGCTCGAGCAAGCTCGATGGGAAGTCCGACTACATGTGACTCGTGCCCGGGGCATTTGGCTCAACCAGCACAGATGGGGCGAAGCCATTCTGTCCATCAGGAGCTCGCCAAGGGCTGGTTTTGACCAGCTGGGGAAGGTAGGTGTGTGCGGCGGTGCGCGATCACGTGTTTCGACCAAGACCAGGGATAGTCTTGGACTTTGATCTCCTGGAAACCGGAATGCTTGGTAACCTAGTGTGAGTTTCGCGGGTGCCTTGGGTTGGGTCCATTTTGGAGTTCTGTTGACCCCTAGCAAGTGCTTTCATAAAAGAATATTGGTTTGTTGATGTGGTGGGGAGGTCTAGGTCAATGTGCTAGTCGCAAGGCTGGAATGCATGAGTAATTACTAATCTATCTTAGTTATTGACTCGTGTTGACTGATGTTTAGTGGTTTTGGACGTGCAAACCTGCACTTGTTGTATTGAAGTGGGGAGTTATACAGTGGAGAGGTCAAACCAGTGTCCCACATGACCTGGTGTGTATGTCTGACCAACATCTGGGCTATACATATGCGATAACGTCTATTTGAAAAGGCGTTGCTATTTATAAGCCGAGGGTGACGGGTTTGCTTGTGGGACTTCACTTACCACCACCTATACGACTGCGCATACGGTGGGAAGTGTATTGTTGCCTGTTTTTAGATATTGAGCGCAGCCTACTGCACGGGAGTATTGCAAAACCGTTGGTGCTAACTAGGTGGTCGAGCGCGTGGAGTACTACTGCTGCAAATGCATTGAATGATTGTCATCTACCATCGTTGTGACAGTGCCCATTTGAGGCCTTCCATCTGCGTTCATTCTTCGGACATCATTCTTGCTTTCTCCCCATTTTCAAGAATGGTGCAACAGTACCAAAATCGACATTGTGTCTTCCCTGATTTGTGCGGGACAGTTCTTGTGGAGAGAGGGACTGGGCGACACAGGCAGCTTCTTCTTTGCGCTTTTTGTGCGGTGTGCTTTCTGCAAACGCGCACATCAACTGTCTTCATAGTCCTCTGCTCCTTCGCAAGGAGGGGAATTCCCAGGCAAGTTCCTGGTCGGCCTAGCATTTGAGAAGGCCCCAGCAACAACAGCACAGGATCCCAACAACAGAGGGCTGCACGGAGCGATGAGCCTCCAGTGAACCGACGAAGGGTGTTCAGGTGGGCAGCCACGGTTTCCGCCCTTATTCTAATTCTAACGCCATGCGTGGCATCGCGAGACGCCATACGGGCCCTGGCTTGGCATCCAGCCATCGAGGCGGAAGCTGCCAATTGGATCGCGGGCACCTGGGGGCTGGAAACAGGAGTTCTTCAAGTCAGGCTCGTCTTGGAAGATCTCCGCGTCCCCAATCTACGCGTGCTGCGCTTGATTTTGTGGCAACGCTTCGCCATGTTTTGGAACAGAGGTGTTGCCGCTGTGGGTTCAGCGAGGTGGGGCATCTTTGGGCAGCCACCTTTAATGGTCTTGGTTTGTGTGCAATGCGCTCTAGGCAGCTTTCGAGGATTTTGTGTGGACTACCGATTGGTGCAAATTGCCGACTATGGTGTGCAGGCGGCAACCCTTGCTGGTGTGCCCGGCGCCCACGTGTTGGGATAAAGTGTCGCCGGTCATCGCCAAGGAGGCCGTGCAGACGCATGCTACAGTACGGGAGCCATTCCGAGGAGAATGAATTCTCTGGGCGAGGCAAGTGGGAGGGAGGAATTCCCTGAGGGAGGCAGTTGGAGCGGCACCACGATGGTAGGAAGCACTTTCGATGTGGGTCCATGTGGTAGGCGGACATCACGGCTGGGCCCAATTGTTGAGTTTCCCCTCCATCCTTCCCATCCTCAGGCTTCCAGGAGAATTTGTGGGTAGAACTGGCCAGCATCAACGTGTGGGTTGCCTGTGCTGCAGGTTGTGCGAACTGGACCAGCTTCGACACACCCAGCTTCAGCAGCTGCCGGCGTGTCGAATGGATGTACAGTACAGCACAGCGGTGATTGCAAGGTATAGCTTCACACTTGCTCTCTCTCTTTCTGCCTTGGAAATCGTTCTTTGGATTCCATCACATTGCCAGTGTTGAACTTGGATGGTGTTCAAACCTACCTGGAACCTGTGCCAGGAACATTTGGTCTTCCTTTGTGGATACCCTCGGTTCTTCATAGGCTGCAGGCTGATCTCAACACATTCATTGCCATGTACACTAACTTCGACCTTTTTGGCATCTGGCGTGGTTGCCCAGAATCTTGCTATCCCCAAGAATAAGTTGGCTGGTGATTATCCTGACCCAGTGGTGTTGTGTTCAAAGCACTAGGGTACCCTGCACTACTGTGAGAGTGTCACCAACTAATATCAGCTTGTTACGTGTGTCTTCTTCCCCCCTGACACAAGGAAGCAGCAAACAACACAACTGTGGTTGCGACATTGAGTACTGTCGTATGTTATACCCTTGCACATTGTAACACAACTTTTGACCTGTTTATAATAGTAACTTAACAATGGTGCCAACAAAATGCGGAGCAGCCCCAGCTGCGATGCAAGGGTTTTTGGAGTGCTCGTGGAGTCTAGTGTCTGCGTATGCAGTACATGTGGAGGAAAATCGGCATTTCAGGCCATCTGAACTTAGTGAAGTCGCCATTCCAGCTGCGAACATTATGTGGAGCCCCCCATGATAACAGTTTGTTGAGAAATGTGGAGTGAAAATTCACAATGCTGAAATTTCAACGTGTGAAAAGGTATAATATACTACAGTAGCAGATGTTGCTCTTTTCTGATCTTGGTGGAGAGGGCATTGTTGCGCATGCTGCATCCTGTTGTCGACACGAAAACAAGAACTGACATGGGTTCCTTAGGCCTTACTTTTTGTCAGTCAGTCATGCTGCTCTGTACCTCTTGCCACCTTGTAGTGTTCAGAGACATCTTCAGATACAGCATAGATAATAATGACAAAATGTCTCACTGAGGAAGGGGCTGCTCACAGTGTGTATGGCCTTTTCTGAGTGGGCGGCTGTGTGCTAGGATTAAGCAAAACCCAGCAATACCATGTCACACATTGGAGCAATGATACGTTCGGCCCCTTTCTACTTCACAGTACCATATGAAGCACCAGTGCGAAACTCAACAAAGTGCACACACGAAAGCAACAAGTGTGTACTCCAGGAGCATCTCTTTTAGACCAGGGAAAACTTTGAGGTTGTTTGTTCATATGAAGCAGCATACATGCCGGTAGGATAGCAATCATCATACGTCCATCAACAAGTTGTGCACTGGCATGGATAAACGAAGGCACTTGAGCAAATGCTGAAGGAAAACAGTGTGGCAGATCATGACTTGTTTTAGAAAGTTTGGAAAAGAGAGAAGGAATTTTGGGCCTGTAAGGCAACCCTAGATCCCCACAGCCCAATATGCCAGGGCTCTGTTCTTGGACAACTATAGGAAACCCAATTCTTTCTGAACAGCCCGTGCGGGGTGACTGCGAAAGTCACAGAGTTCCACCAAAGACTGAAAGGTGCTATTGATGGAATCCCGGTATCCTGCGAAAACGGGCATTAGGGGCTCGTGCAGAAGCTCCAAACCCCCATGTTGAAGAGCCAACAAGGACGAATTGGGATGCCCAAATGCCCTGTCTAACTGTGTGTGCTGGTGGAGGCGATGTTTGAAGGCTAATTTTTCCTGTTGCATATCCGAACAGGGCATGCGTGTGCTGTACAATCGAAAAATTATGGGGTTCTTGAAGGAACAACTCGACAAGGTGTTGGCTGTGAAGGTTCCAAAAGATGCATGTGCAGATAGCGTGGACCGATTCAATGAGCAAATTGCTATTGCTGGGCGACTTCTGAGGAGACATGCAAATCCATTGGAATTCACTGACTTCTACAAATCTGAGCATGCGCACCATGGGGTGAGGCACATATGCCTAGCCCTGAAACGGGTGCTTCAAGAGTGGAACTTGGAGGGCAGAGTGGGTCTTCAGGTCACCATTCCACAAAGTTTTGTTCAGGCAGACAGAGAGCATTTGAAAGATATCCTCCAGTACATTTTCTGTGGTCATATCGGTATTGCCAAGGTGCCACAAGCCTGGTGTTACCTTAAGACTGTGATTGACATGAGACTGGAGAAACTTACAGTCATTGATGAAGGCCAACTTCAACTCGAAGATGTGATTGGTGAGGGTGGCTATGGCGCTGTCTTCAAAGCCAAATGGGGGCAAGAGAAGGTGGCTGTGAAGAAGCCAGCCGTGGGTGTGGAAATCCAGGATGTTGCCAGCTTCCGCATTGAGGCTGTTGTACAGGCTTCGATGAGTCACGATCACATAGTGCACCTTCATGCTGTCACTGTCACAGGTTGGCTGGTGATGGAATTGGCTGACAAAGACTTACAGGTGCTTTGCGATTGTGAGCCCTTGTCTTGGAACCAGACGGTTGACCTCCTGCTGCAGGGTGCCTTGGGAATAGACCACATGCATTCTCAAAGTCCTCCTTTGGTTCACTCAGATGTGAAAACGTCCAATTTTCTTGTCTTCGTCCCTGATCAAATGGGTGCCAAAAGATGTGTGAAGGTCGGTGATTTTGGGCAGACGTTTAGGCTTACAGGAAACAAGAGCAAAACCATCAGGAGGAGGCAAGGTACCCCATTGTGGGTGGCACCAGAGAGCTACCATGGCAGACCTCTGACAAGAGAGTCAGACGTCTTCAGTTTAGGCGTGGTAATGTACCAGGTGGTGACCGGAAGGATGCCTTATGAAACACAAGTTGGTGGTGATCCTGAGGCCCATAGCATGTACATGAAAACCCTTGGGAGGGCGCCATGCAAGGTGGATGACAAGGACTGTCCGCCAGAAATGTTGAAGCTCATGAAGAAGTGTGTTGATAAGGAACCAGTGAACAGGCCAACGATGGCGGACGTCGTCAGCCATCTAAGGAAGCTGCCAGTTGACTGGGTGTACAAGGTGTGAAGAAGCGCCTGGTTGAAAACAGCTACATGTGCTTTCTGGATGCAGGATTTGCCATTCTGAATTCAATATAAAGTTTGGACCCTGCAAATGCAAGTGCTGACAGAAGCTGATGTGCCAGATGTTTCAATGTAGAATATTGTGCTGTTGGAAACATGGCAGCTACAATATGGCTCTGAGAACGAAAGGACAGTTAAGAAGCAATTATGTGGTGTGTGGTGATTTATGGTGAAATGTGGTTGTTATGAAATTGGTATGGTGTCATTGTGATCTCTATATGGAGACAATGGAGATGGGAATTGAACATCCTTGCAGCGACTGTTATTTAGCCAGTACGTTCATCCTGTAATAAATATGGGTGTGGTCTTGCTTCCTGTGCCTGGGAGCGACCATGTGCGAGTGTGTGTTTTGCAAGGTTTTGTGTGATAATAACAATTGTGTTGACGTTTGTGCTGCTCCATGCAGAATGTAAGCAACAGTAATGCAGTTCAATGCTAACACCAGTACATACAAAGACTGTAGCTCATGAGGTCTGGGAATCTTGACCAACATGGTATGACCCGACAGTCGCTTGCAGCTTTGGGGGCTTGTTCCTGCAATTTTTGCTTTATGCTCAAGCCCAATTAGGAGCTTCTTTGGGGTCGGTTGTGCTGTTTCTGACACACCAAGGGAATGTATCACCACGACAACCCCCCTCCCCCCTTCTCGGGATTATTGAGACAGAGACACGATGCAGCTTAAAAGGTATCGTTTTTGTGGTGAGGACTTGTTGCATGCGCTTATTGCTATCTGTTACACATGCTTTTGTGCCACAGGAGGAAGCAAGTGGCAGGCAGGAGTTGAAGCCATCCCTACAAGAGGTGGGATCGAGCTCAGAATGACATACCTTGCAATAGTTTGTGGGTTTTCTCCTGAACAGCATGGGAATTGAAAAAGGTATCCAGTGTACGGAAGTTAGCCTGGACTAACCCTGGCCCCTGCAGGCAGGATTTGAGACTCCTTTATAGCAAACATGATGCAGCTTAAAGGGTATCCATTTTGAGGTGAGGCTCTGTTGCGTGCATGTCTGTTGTTTATCATTTCCTACCTTTGTGCTGCAGAAGGTATCAAATGAGAAACAGGAGTTGAAACCATCCATGCAAGAGGTGAGGTTGTGTTGTGAAACAGCAGTGGAAGCAGAAATGGATCCATTGTGTTGAAATATGCCTGGGCTAACTCCACCTTTCATGGACAGAAAATTTGAGCCTGTTCAACAGCAAATTTGATGCTGCTTGGAAGGTATCCTTGTGTTTGGGATCTGTTACATGTGTTTTTACTGCTGATCATTTGTCACTGATCATTTTTGGCCACTGATTGTGTGTGTTGAATGGGAACATGGAAAGCCGAAATGGGCATCTTTTGTGTAGAAGAACTCCTTGGTTACAGCCCCTCCCCCCCCCCCCCCCCTCTCCGCTCCTCCTCCTTGGCAAAAAAATTTCATAATGTTTTATTGCAAAGGTGATGCAGCTTCATGGAGAGCCACATTGTGGTAAGGATCTGCTGCCTGTGCTTGTTCCTGATTGTTGCTACATGCCCCTGTGCCACAGTTGGTATCAAGTGACAAGCTGGCATCGACATCGCTTGCCCAAGAGGTGGGTTTGCGCTGCTGACCTCACAGTGAGATGTCTTGAAACACATTATTTTCATTTTGCTTTGTCACTGCAGCAGTAGAGAGCAGAAAAGGGTGCCCAGTGTGCTGTTGTAAACTTGCGGTGCAGCTTTCTCTTTTTGAATTCGGGCATTGAAAAGCATCTGCAGAATGAACTGCAGAGGGCAGAGAAATCCAGATTTGTGGGTAACTTGCTGCCATGGACGCTGCTTTCCATATGGTCTTGCTGTGTTGAGCATTTGCCTTGTGCAGGAGGTGCATCCATTCTCTCAGATGGTGGAGTTGCGATTCCCAGAACCTGAGTTTGCAGATGCTGCTGGCACACCAGGTTACCTGGAGCGTATCCAGATTGCAATTTCAGCACTGTTCATGCGGCTGGCTGAGTTTTTCAACAGGGGCACTGCAGTCATCTCTGTCAGAAGTCCACGGCAGGGGTCCATTGTGTTCCCAATTCAGGTGAGAATTGTGGATGGTGTGGCCCTGCTGGCCAGGAGCAGAAGGCAAGGACTGTACATGCTGTTGCTGAGAATCTACTCTACGGCACAAGCAACGCACTCTTGCATATCAGCCCAAACCCACGTATGCAGCAGATGTGACGCAGATGTGCAAGGACTATTGTTTTTTTCACCAGTACCAGCTGTTCATTCTCCACAGACGCAGCTCATGACTGAATCGGTATGTCTTGTTCGTGGCATTCTTTCCACTGTTTGTGCTTATCTGCCTCCAGGTTGAGTTCTCTTCTCGGCTTGCTGCTGCCCTATTTGAGGAGATGATGCAGCAGCTACAGGCAGGCCTGAATGAAGATGGACAACAGCTTCCATCAGTTCTGAATCAGCCAGAAGTGACTGTATTCGATGGAGACTACATTGCGAATGCACAGGCATGTGAATGTGGGGACACCTGAATCGCGATTCTTTTGCCTATGATCATGACTGTGGGGTGGACTGGAAAGAAGTCATTTACTGTGGTGAACCATGGATGCTATTGCAGATGATCACTGCTCTCCTTCACCTTGAAACAGGTAGTTGGTGTTATTGGGGTGTCAACATGAACAGCAGATTGGCAAATCACCTGAACTTGATTCGTCTACAAAGAGTTGCATGTCGATTTGAGCAATATGGCAGCCAAAATGTGACAAAGGCATGATGTGGATGTGTTGGCCAAGGAAGAACACAGCAGTACATTGTGTGGTTGAAAGTACACTGTGACAGTTGTTATGGTGAGAGCGTCAGGATGTTAATTGGATTTAATTTGGACAAGTGCAGAACTAAGCAGTAGGTGTGGCCAGAGGGAAGGCCAGTTTGGAGAGTTGGGAGTGCACAGGCGTCCAGAACCAACGAATTAGGTTATATTGTACTGTGGAAGGATCCATTGCAAGTTTTATTTGCATTCAGCCTCGCAGCTGGGTGCAAGGGTGTTGTCGCTCTCTCCTCTCCCATATGCTCACTACGAGGAGCCTTTCGCAGTACCAGTCAGGGCATGTAAAACAGGACCTGGATACGGCTGCTGGAAACGACCACTTGCATGTGCAGCAAAATCGACATCGAATTATGCTGTTAGAGAGCTCAATTTTGGTTATTCGAATCAAATTTGCAATTTTTATCTAGCAATTACTCATGCAACAGATGGAACCCTCCCAGAGCTCGGCTGAAGGCATCTAAGAATCGACACAAGGACATTTGCCAAATTTGTAGTGCTTGTTGGCAAGTGCCCTTTTGAAAGGCTTTGTTTCCATGAATGAAGCCTGTCATGACCTCTGGTGCAACAGGGAAGAGAGCATGCTGTGAAATTTGTATCCCCTTCCTGCGGAAGACTTTTCACTCTGCTGTTGCTGAAGTCTTCTAACACTTCAGGAAATATATCAGGAAGTGAGCAACAGTACAGAGCACGAATGTCCAGAATATTTGTACTATTGTGTAGCTGATCTTGGCTTGTGGGCTTGTTGCCAGGTTTCAGAACTGGAGGAACAGCTTCAGCAGAGCATCAAAATGATACAGGAGGTTACAGATGTAAAATATGGTGTGAAGATGATCGTGTTTCTGCAAAGGAGCATTGCCCGACTTGCAGACCATCCAATCAGCATGCCAAAAAATGCAAATGAGAAGGAATGGAAGTGTGCTGCTGCAGTACTGCTGTACCATCTGAAAGTTGCCTTGCAACTGGTGCATTGGCACAGTTGTCTTGATGTGGACAAGGTGTACAGGAGTGCAGATACCAAAGCGGTGATTGAGCAGGTTCTCAGTGCCATTAAGGCGTTTACATCCGATTGGAGTGGGCTTGGTGCTGGGGACTGTCCTGATAGTGTGCCGGCGGAGTGCTTGCAGAGTGACAGAGATCATCTGAGCAGCTACCTTGGCTATGTTTTGGAAGGCCAACCCTGCGATTTTGGAGAGGCTGGAGAAACTGTTAAGTGGGAATGGGACATTCTGAAGGACAGTTTGGAGGAACACAAGCTTGTGCTTGCTGATGTTCCTGAGGACGAGGTTGAATGGGGGGAGCCGATCACTGACAGTGTGTTCAAAGTAAGATGGCGTGGTGCCCAGTTGGCTGGAAAACATATCATTCCAGCCGATGGCCATGACATGGAACTTGAGGACTATCAGAAATTCTACGCAGCTGTGTATGGCACAGTGTCAGACCCACGAAATGTGGTGAAAATTCATGGTGCAACTAGGTCGGGGGCTGTGCTCATGGACTTGGCAAGTACTGACCTGCGGCAGTGGTACTTGAATCTTGTGACATTTGATGTGGAGGCTAGAGTTGTTTTGAAGCTCAAGGTCCTGGCTCAAGCTGCAAGAAGCCTGCACGCGGTCCATACCTTGGGCAGAGTCCATGGACGTGTGAAGAGCAGCAATTTTCTCCTCTTTGGAGACGACCCAGAACAGAGTGTGGTCAAGATCTCTGATCTGACGCTCTCAGTTGAGCGCTGGCACAAGAAGTGCCTTCCCCCACGTTTGGCTGGGCATTGGATAGCTAAGGAGGTGTATGAGGGCCAAGTCCCCAGAAGCAAGTCGGATGTTTTCAGCTTTGGCTGCGTAATGTATGAGCTATTGATGGAGGAGCTCCCATATGGAGATGCAACTTCCGAGGGAGAGATCATGATGTCCAAACTTGAGGGGAAGCAGCCTTTCGACTTATCCAGAGAATCCATGAGGCATTGGCCCAATGAAGTCTTGCAGTTGATGGAGAAATGTTGCTCACCAAATCCTAATGAGCGCCCTTCAATGCGAGCTGTCGACAAATGTCTACAAAATTGGTACCCAGGCCAACTGGAGAAGGTAAGATCAAGTGATGTTTTGCCTTATGGCTGCTGTTGTGTGCTGTCATTGGCTTCGTGCCAGAAAGAAATGATGCTGTCGCAACCACTGGTACACATTGCACATTGGCCATTCTTTGTCAGTGCTTCTGTTCATGCTTGTTGTTGTGGCAATGCTGTTTATGAGGATTTGGAATTTGTCTTGTTTGTGCAGGCAGCACATGCGAGTGGAGAGAGCAGTGAGATAATTGAGGTGGAGTCGTTTTGGAATCATCTGCCTTGGACAAAGCAGGTTTGTGAACCCACACCAATTGTGGTGTCTTATTTTTATGCTCCATAGCATTTGATGGTGAGCTGCTGCTATGGAACATGCTGTGGACATTTTGCGCAGCAGGTCAGCCACAGATCGTGATGTTGTTGCTGGCAAATGGAGGCCTTCTTCCTGTGCAACAGAACCAAAATGTGACATGAGTTGTTGACTGCGCTGTCTAACAGATCCATTGCACCTTTTGTGAATTGCACGGGATGGCCTGCATACCCGGCTTGCCAGCAATGGTTTTCTGGTACAGTTCTCTTCTCTTTGGTATGCAACTCATGTGTGTCACTTCTCGAGCAATGTGTGGGAGAGATTGGACGAGTTGCATTACCCGTATTTACCCGGTATTAGTATGCACCCCCTATTAGTATCCACCCCCTTCTTTGGGGGTCGAACCCACGTTAGTATCCATGACCCGGTGTTAGTATCCACCCAAACCTCAACAAAGCAGAAACGACGGAAGGCGCGGATGGTGGCAAGGGAAGTCGGGGGCTGCTGTTGGACCTCGTTGCCCAGTCTGGACCAAGCCGCGTTCCCTGCGATTCGCACATCGACGGGGACGATCGGGTCAGGGTGGATGTTGTCGAGGGAGAATTTGGAGGGGTTCCCCCGAAAAGCCGCGCGGTCGACTGGCCGCCATTGGCGTTCTCAGCGCAGGGTCGCAAGGCAGCGACCGACGCCGCAAGGCCCGATGATAGAAGCGGTCGAGAATTCAAAGCCGCCCTAGTTTCTGGATTGAGCCAACCTGCTCCCCGGCCGGCCAGAGCAGGTTCCGGCCTGGCGCTTGGCACGGGCCCCCCAAGGCCCAGCGCCAGGAATGGGCAGGCGACGGCATTGGTCGAAGCAACTGCCGTTGCGAGACCCCGCCCTGCAAAACTGGCCGTAAAGTGCTGCGAAGGTGGGGCAAAACACATCTCACTGGCTACCAGGCCACAGACCCAATCACAGATCCCGTCAGCCTTCCCAGTCGCCATCAGCGAGGGACAACGCCGCCTGTCGAGCATCGTCACGACGTGGTTCCCCAGCGAGTCGAGACCCATGCCAGGCCTTGTTCTTTTCATTGCAGAGGCAAATGCGCCTCGAGCATTCCAGCGAACCCATGACGGCCCCAATCGCCAGTCGCCACCAGCTAGTACAGCCCCAAGTCAAGGCCGCCAGTTCCTGTGAAGAAGCTGACAACATTCCGCACTAGCATCGCCATTTTTGTCCATTTTTGGGTATTTCACGGCCTATTTGTCAAAAATTGTCTTTGTCTACTCTTTGGAATCAGGGGTCCAAACCGCGTTAGTATACATGACCCGCTATTAGTATCCACAGCTCTTTTTGGGGGTCCAATACATGCCTACTAATACCGGGTAAATACGGTATTGTGTTAGTGTGGTTCTTATATTACTGGTCTTGTGTTCCCTTGTTGGTCTCGTATGTGTACGTTATCTGCATTGTCTAAGTATCTACACTTTATATTTATTTGCGGGTCTTGTACTATTTACTTCATACGTTGTTCATACATTTCAGTGCGTTTGAGGTAACATCAGCCCTTGCCTTCATTCCTGCTATGACTTGCCTTGTCATGGTTCCTGTTTCCTGGTCTCTTTACCTGCAAGGATGTTTTCTTCCATGCGGTTACTGACTGGCTGCTCTGCAGCCACCACAACTGTCTCCATCTTCACCATCAGGAGAACAAGCCTTGGTGGTTCCTTCCGTTCCCTTGAGGATCCCCACAGTTCGGCGGCCCATTCTTCCTATTGAGGCCACGCTTGCAAGCCTGAGTGATAGGGGCAACAATGCTGGGAAGAAAAGTGGAAGCGAAGCGGATCACCTTGGAATGTGTCGATCCGTTCACCCAGGCAGCCCGGCAGCCTCACAGCCCATTGCCACTCTTTCATGTTTATCTAATGGCAGCAACGAGTCGTCAGACAACAGTGAATATGCAGATTCAGTGGAAGTGGCAGTGGAACTTTCCTATCTCTCAGGCAGACCCATAGGCCAAGGCGCCATATCCTATCCAACGCAAACATTGATTCCAAAGGTGATTGATCTGCGGCTTGTAATGGTCAAGCTTCGAATGCAAATCCAAAGCTGCAATTGTTGCCTGCTTTTGGTTGAATTGTGGACACATAGCTTAGCTCGTTGCCAGACCGCTTGGGTTTGCTTCAACATGCACTGTCCACTCCACATCATGAAAAGACTCTGATCATGTGAACACTGGCAGATAGCCTGTTCTCAGCATGTCACTTTGGATTCCCACGTTGTAGTACTTCCCCATCATGCCTTGTGATACTCTTGGTTGAAACCTTGCCATTCTACTCACCAGCACATGATTTTGTGGTATGTGTTTTTTGCTTCAGACAAATGCCGTAAAGAACTGGCATATGTTGCGCGATATTCCAAAAAGTATCTGTGGCATGTTTTCCTGCAATGCTGGTACTCTAAGAGCGTTTCCATGCAGGATGGCACTTGTTGGATGGTGCCATATTGGAAACGGATCAAATTACCAAGGTTGTCTAATTTTGCGGGGCACTTTCTGTCCAGGTTGGGAATTTGGTGCAAGGAGTGCCCCCTGCTGGGCTGGCAGCTGGTTTGGCAGCTAGAATGGCAGCCAGTATGGATATCCTCTGTCGTTGATTTCTGGACAGCATGAACAAGCAAATACAAACAGTGTTAAAACTCCAAGAAATGAGGAACAGCAATTCTATTAGCTTGTCCAAAAGTATCTCTTGATTGAGAAGCATTGTTTTGAAACAAGAAACAACACATGCACAGTCAATGCAAAATGCAGAACTGGCCACAGACCCAACTTGGGTCCTGTCTGGTGGTTCATAAATGGCCTGGGCAGCGCCAGGGTCGTTTTGTGTGAAATCAAGAATCGTGGCCTGCCTGCAGGGGAGGGGGCAGGGAGGGACCTCAACACCAATTGACTTGTTTTGTACGTTGACTGCTCCATGATGTGGTGCATACTGTTTGTTGCAAAACATTGTTTGTCAAAAATTTCAAAATTTTGGCAGTTGTCTTTTCATAAAATGTCAAAAATTATCAGAAATGTCGTTTCAGTTGTAGCCCCTTGAGCCACTTGTAGCATTGTCGTCTTGTCAAGTTCGCCCTTTCCTCCATGATGGCACCCTGATTTGCTCTGCACTGTGTTTGCGATTGGAAGCAGGGCAAGGATCTGGATGTGGATGAGTGCGGGCGGCGGGAGGAGCCAGGTGGTGGAGACAGTTCGTGGAAGAGGAAGGAGCAGTGCAGGGAGGGCAAGGTGGGCTTTGCCTGGAGCTGTCTTTGTTATCTTCATTGGCTGCAATGCTTGGTAGTTACTTCCGGCAAACAAGCCAAGGCAATGCCCTGTCCAAAGCACAGTCGCACTGCCAGTGGAGCATTTATCATGACTACATTGGAGTGCCCATTTTGGCCACTGTACTGCAATTGGGCACTCCCATTTAGTTGCAATAACGATGCATTGGCAATGCAGCTGTATTTAGACATGTAAAGGCAGGCCGTGATGCATGAATTGGCCTGTCATGGTACTTGGCGGAGGCGGGTGCACAGGTGTGCAGGTGATTAGAGTGTAGCACAGCTCTGTTGGCATGTGTGGTCTGTGCACTGTCCACTCGTGACACCCTGGCGTGTGGTGTCAGGTTTTCAGTGGCCACCTGTCTCTGCAGTGTTGCAGATCATGCAGATACAGGTTGTGTATCTGGATCCTCTTGACAACCTTGACAGAAAGTCATGTGGCTTGTCAGCGTTCCATAAGAAGTGATGTGGGGCCTGCGAAAGTGGAACAGAGTGCCAGACAACATGAGCAGAGTGAACGACTTGGGCCATATTCTCGTATTTGCCATGTTAATGGGGTTCAGGCCACGGATCTTGCAGGCTACAGAAGCAAGACATTGGGGGAATACGCTGCTACTTGTGGCATGCTTGTGTACTCAGTGCTTGACCTATGTACCATGGTAAGAACTGGAATTGTAGTGGGTTTTCCCAGAAGAATGTTTGGAGGTGATGTGTGGATCACCCTTGGTTCAGGGAGATGATACAACGAAGAAGCCCAAAGTCGACTGGACCGTGCGAATGCATATGCAGTTCGTCCATGCAGTCAACCAGTTGGGCATCGACAGTAAGTGGAGCATTCAGATTGTGAGGGCTTTGTCCAGGCAGCTAGGTGGAAGTCTGAGATTATCTGTTTCATCGCAATGCCTTGGAAACTGGCTGGCTGTTGGCACTGCAGAACTGGCAAGAGTTTGGGCACAACAATTGCACCGAATGAGCTTCAACTCGAAGTGTGCAGCACTAGCGACAGTGGATGCCGGAGCAAATAACAGTGGCACAATGCTGCAACACCAAAACGTTACCTGACATTGGTGTCCTGGTGTTGTTCTGATAGAATTTTGCACAGCACGCAGTGTGGAAACTACTGTACTTGCCCTGCTCTCCAATCTGTGTTTGGCAGCATACTGTCAACATGACACATGAAAATTGTAGTGCAGTGGTGGTGGTGGTGGTGTGGAGAATCAGTGCCTGCATCCCAAGGTGCCAGAAGAGAGTTCAGCACTGGAACTGTGCATGGTCAAGCCCATGCCTTCGCCAGTAATCCCAACACTGTCAAATTTGTGTGCAAGCTTTTTATCACTAGCTGCCTGGCACCAGAGCAGTAGCGATGTCACAATCCAGTAAGTTGATGGCAGGACAATGTAGCAGTATCCATTTATAAATGTTTTGTATGGAGAAATACAGTTCAGTCCATTAGCATGGAATGCTTGCCGATGGTTGGCTTGAAGGGTAAGCATTGCCTGCGTTGAGATCGAACTGCGATTGGCAGCTTATTCTGTGACCAGGAATGGTGCCTTGCTAGGAAATCCTCCATTTGGTGTATTTTTTCATTGTGGAATTTGTTGTTTATAGGAGAAGTGGGCTGCCCCACACAGGATGTGCACATAGTCTGCGGAGCTGCTGTTGTTATCCATTGCGTGTCACACACAGTGTGTAGTTGATCATTGCATTGCTGCCACAGAGGCCATACCCAAGAAAATACTCGAGCTGATGGGCGTGAAAGGGCTTACCAGAGAAAATGTTGCAATGCACCTGCAGGTGGGTTATGCTCAGATTGGTGGTCACTGGGTTGTGGATCTCACACTTTTAGCTGCCATAGATTTTACTTCTTGTCCGATTTGTCCAGGAGTTCACCATGTTAGAATGTATCGTGAATGTGGTTCTTCAGTGCATATGTGGTTGTTCAATTCATGCAAGTTCCTTTTGTGGGACCTGTGCTTGTGGTGATCGTGTACTGTGCTGACCAGGGGATTTACTGTGTGTATTGGCGTACCTGTAGTCTTGTGGCATGGCATCTGCTGAACCACTCCTGGCATGCACGGGTGTCCTGTCCGATCAGTGTGTCACTACCCCTGCTGCTCTTTGTTGCTTTGCCAATGAAGGACGCAATGGTGCATTTCAGAAAATGTCACTGAATGCATGAACGACTTATGTGCTTCTTTCCACCTGGGAACTGCAACCTTGTTGTTCATTGCACGTCGTTTCACAGCCAGTGCGATGGTAAATGAGCATCGGGACTACAGTAGCACCATTGGCATGGTGCATTCATGTGCATATCTCTGCAGGTGGCTGTGGTTATGTTGCGTCTCTATGGGGATGGTGCACACCATCGCTGCGCTGACCGGCAGGTTGTCCAATGGCTTTGTCTAGGCAGTTCCCCTAATGTGCCGACCGATCCCAGCACTGGTGTTGTTTGATTTTCTGTGCTGTGTCAACCAGAGATACCGCCTGTACTTGAAGAGACTAGGCGTGATAGGTGCTGGGAGGACGTGTAATATCCCCATAGTGCAGGTGCCCCACGCCGGCAGCGATTCACCCGAGAACGCCCTGGCCTCGGCACCCTTGGTGATACCAACCCCTGGGGCAATGTCTGCACAGCTGCCAGGAGCACCTGGCTTTTTTGGGTCCATGCCTCAGGTTAGCACTGGACAGACCAGCCAGATGGCACCAGACATTCCGTATCTTCTTTGTGCAAATGGACAACTGACGGCACGTGGATATGCTGTGAAGGCTGAACGACGTGTCTTTGCTAGCTGACAATGATGCATTTGGTTGTTGAACTGGAAACAACCTGCGTTGTAGTGCATTGGCCCAGGAGGCGTCTAGCCTATATTGAGGGCAGCTCATGGGTTGCAGAGCACGATGATCAGTGTTTTGCCAAATCCAGAAGTCTGGTCCACTCATTGAAAGGGCAGCATTCTCATCTCACACCCATGCAGGGGGCCTCTATATGTGTGCATACTTGTATTCGAAATGTCATTGACAAGGAAGCAAGGGCTTTTGAATGAGACAAGTGACACATGATTCCATAGTGAACAAATGTTAAAGTATAGTTAGAGCAGAATTGCTGCCAGTCTGGCACATACTTGGTCTTGCTGCAAGGGCATGGTTGGTTACTATTTTTTTTTGCGACAGTGGATTGTTCTTTTCTGCGACAGTGCCAAACTACTCTTTTTTGCGACAGTGGCGATAATTGATGCGCGAGATATTGGCATCAGATTTGCCACACCACCCCTACACGGTCCACCGGGCCTCCTCTCACAACGGCGCTGAAGGCGCGTCTGTTCGGAGAAAGGACTAAAAGGCGAAACGGGAACGTTTGGGGACGCCCAGGGTCCCCATCTTGTGGAAGGGGGCTGCCGCTACCACTCGGCGATCACCTTGACGCTGAGATTCAGCCGAATCGGCTGAGGTTGCAGCCCCCCGTTTCCTCCCCAGATCTGTTGTTGCCGTGCTAGCCCCCTAAAATGCGGCCACTTGGCCGCGCGGGGAGACGGCGCCGCGAACTGGGACCGGGGAGTGTTGCTCGTGACGCCGGACGGGGAGGCCAAGGCGCTGGTTGCCAGCGCCATTGCCGTCCAAGCATCGACCATCAAGGCGCCCACGCCCAGCGCCGTTGACTGGTCACACGACCAGGTTTCGCTGCCGGGTGGGGGCACGCCCTGTGAGCCACGACCTATGGCGGGCTGCCACTGCAGCCATTTCAGCGATTGGCGCAACCCTAGTGCTCATTTGGCGCCGCCCGGCCCTGTGCGTCACCCAGACCCCAAACAAGCCCAGCGTTGACTCGTGAAGTTCGAGGGAGTGGAAAACGGTCCCTCAGGTGGCGAACAACAGCGACGGCGGCTGCTAGCGACCGGTGGCAAGTGACGGTGGAGGGGGGCGGGGGGCGGGTAGGCGAGCTGGTTCGAAGGCCCGCCTTTCCAAGCTGTGCATTAGTCATATTCACTGTCGCAAAAAAGAACAATCCACTGTCGCAAAAAAGAGTAGTTTGGCACTGTCGCAAAAAAGAATAGTCCACTGTCGCAAAAAGAAATATTCGCCGGCATGGACTGCATATCCCACTGTTTCCCTCTTGGAAAGAAATGTGTGAATGAGCTGAGCCGCTGATTGACTTCCCCATGGCTCTTGTGCAGGACATGAATAGTGCAGTGGGAGATGGAAGGGGAGGTGGGGGCGAGCGCAAGCCGTGTGTGCCATCAGTTGTCAGTTTGTTGAGGGCCGGTACGTCGTTAGCTTCAGAAGTGAAGAGCAAGAGCAAAAGGAAGAGATCTGGAAATTTCGGCCTCATCCTTGGCGCTGGCAATAAGAAGGCACGCACAGACCGCTTTGCCTGCGAAAGATGAAGAAGAAGCACGCTCCATCTTCGGCCCTAAGCTGAAAGGGAAGAAGAAAAGGCACTCACTAAGGAGGACGAGGAGAAGAAGTGGTTACAACTCAAGCACTTTGGCATGGTCACAGCAGTGTGGTAGCAAAACGAGCAAAGGCTTGAACACTGCGATTTTGGCTAAGTGCGGCGACCACGGTTCTGAGCAAGACCGAAAAGTTGAAGTGAACGCAATTCGCCAGTTGGGAAGAAGCCCAAGGTTGTGGTGCATGGCCGTTGCACTGATCCACTCGCAAGTGAGAACTGGAACACAAAACGCGCTTGACAGTGCAGTATTGTGATCTTGCGGAAATAGGTTTAATGTACCAATGCATGATTTACTGCAAACAATGTGATCTGAGCACAGACAGAGACTATGCGGAATGGGCAGTGTCTTGTCACGGACCCGAGTTTGCAGGCTGCAGTAATGGCGTGTTGCGAAGGATTTGGATGATTGCCCTGGCGGCTATGCAACAGTCAGAGGTGCCTAACTGCTTGGAGGTGCTCGCTCGGGCTCGGAATGTCAGAGCAGTGGGGGCCAAGGCAGGGGCCCTGCCAGAAACCACGGTAGATTTGGGTCACACCGCTGACCATGACGACAGTTTCCATTGCGAACTGAACTAGTCGCAGCACAAGATTTGAGGAATTTGAAATTGCCCGAACATGGATGGAATGTAAATTATGGGACCTGAACAATTTCATGCCCAGGTGGCTGCTGTTCTTGTTGTTTTTCAGTGCAGTGAATACGACAACTTCATGTCACCAACACTTTGAAAAGCGACTCGTAAGGTTCCAAGTGTCACCCCCCATCTTTGGGCCGATGCTCCCCCGAATCAACCAAAAGTCAAGAGAAAAGAGGGTCAACCACGCTGGCAGCCAGCAGAGCCGAGAAGACGTAATGATAATTTCAACAGCTGTCTTGTGGCGTGGCCTGTTTTGTCGCTACGACAGTTTTTTGGTGAACAGCAATAAAGTCTATATCGACATGCACAAGAATAGCATCCAAGATCACCTTAGAGTAATGCAGGCCTCTGTTGATCGCGATTGTACGACCTTGTGTCCACAAGCATGGTACCAGTAGTATTAAGGCTTCGGTTGGCCCAAACCCGACTCGAAAGATAGTATCATAAAATACGAGTATGAGCCACAGTAACACTATTTCGTCAAGATTGCTTAAATGTGACAACAAGGGAGTCTCAGTGGCTCACCAACAGATGCCTCCCAAACTTCGCCTCAAGAAATCTGTTGGCTGTTGATGAAGCACTGTGGGAACTTGATGCGACCAGACCGTCGATAAAATAGTGAACAACGTTGAACAATGCTTGTGCACCCGTATTAGTGAGATACGGTGGCCGCACCAGGGTTGCCAAAATGGTGCTGCACAGGAATGGCTCCCCTCTGGAAAGAACTGTGTATCCTGAACATGCGTATCCAGCATACGCTGTACAGATCATATTCGACAGCCCAAATACGGGCGATGACATGAGATCCCCCATACACAACACATTGGATGCAGATTTGGCATATTTGGGAACTTGAACTTCGTACCGGCGACAGTGTTGCAGCGCGGTCTCTTTGTGACAGCATACCGCTATGGTTGCAGTAATATCGTCAGGATTATTGAGTGAAGGGTGACACCATGGACTCAGGTCCCGCGCATGTAACACCCCGTGCCTCCATGCACACCTTTGATTGCGATCCCTGCGGAATCGAAATGAACCAACATGCTTTACACCTTGTTAGCAAGTTGTTACCAGGGCAGTTGTTCTGGGGGCAAACACGTGTCAGTTTCTTTTGTTTTGCTTATAACATAACCCCAATTTTCAGATGCAAACAATAGACAAGCAAAAAAATAGATGAGCAGCATATCATGTGCTCAGATTTTTTTTTTGGTGAAAATTTGCAGTGGCTTGTTTTCTCCAACATGGGTATGCATAACATGCACGCACATACGGCGGCTGTATGTCGCGCATACCATACGGCCGCCCGTATTCATACTCATCTATGCACAAACATGTGAAAGTAAATTTCAAGGCTACAAATCAGAGCAGTGCGTTGCTGCACGTGCGCCCGACGGACATTTTGCCATCGACTGAGCGATCAGAATCTGGGCCTGGGCTTGGCTCCGCCTGCCGATATATTCGATTTCAATGTGCAGGATAACTGTGTTTTCTCCATTCCCCCACTCAAGTGCCCCTGGGTTTTAGAAAATCTTACAATGCTGAAACCCAATTCGGAAAATATGCTCGAAGAACATTGAAGCCCCTGCCCATACGCAAACACTACACTCCTCGTAGGTTGCTTTCCCCCAGTCCGGGCAGGTTCTGCACTTGTGGAGGATGCCCCAGGCGCCTTTAGCTCCAGAGAAAGATGAACGGCAGTGCGCTTACCAGGCGCTACCCTTCGCGAATTTTCAATCGCCGTGGAGCGTACGGGATTTCCCCTCCCGCACGTTACCGTTGGGTCGATGATGACACCTGGCAAGAAGGTGAGCCATCTCCCATTTGAAGCGAGAACCTGTCAGTACTTGTGCAGATATGGAAGTCTCAGGTTCACGTAATGGGGCGCTTATATGTTTGCACAAGGTAATTGCACTGTTCAATTACGCTTTGCTGTGTGACAAGAACTACTGATATGGTAACTTATAGTTACTTACTGTAAACATTGTATGGTGTAATAAAGTTATGCTGTATGATTGAAACCAATATGCTTGTTGTAATGGTACACCCTAACGAATGCACAGCGATTGAAGTGTCATGCGCGTGGACGGTCGTGAAAATCGCAATGCAAAACAAACAAGGTACAGAGTGCTTCGCCCATTTCGGTACGGTGTATATACGAAACTCCATAAAATTTCTGAACAAGTTGGTACTGCATAATATTACTAAGAAACGAGGTTTGTGCGCAAGCCAAACAAGGGCTTCGAACAACAAGCACGCAAGTCCGGCCATATGGAACGAGCGAAAGACGCTCCCCGGTAAGAATTCTTATATCGTTGGTATGGAAAACCGAATGGCACGTGTACGCATCTGCTGAAATAAAGACGCTCCACAGCGCCGCGGTCTATGTCTAGGCCGGCTTAGACATATTAACCATATATCCGGAATGCGGAGAAATGTTATCCCGTGTTCAATGCACGACACTGACTATACCCAGGAATGGAAATTCCATCCTATATCCCATGGCAATCTCCAGCCAGGCCCTTTTAAATATCAAGGACACGCAACACATTGTAACAGAGCTGAATTGACGAAGTGGCATTTTTTCTCCCAGCGATTTGTAATCGCCAGCCATTAATTAGCTTTAGACTTCCTCCGTCCCATATTAAATGTTCTCTATTTGAAGTAAAAAATTCATTACAAGGAAAGCTTCAAAGGTACAAAACAAGGTCAGAATCAGAATCATTGGGTCCTAAAACACTTAACCACCAGTTTTTGAGAGAAAAAAGTAAGTCTCACTCTTTGAACTGCACCCTCGAAATTGCCCTTGGATTCAGAAAAAAAGTGGGCGCGCCGATTCCGATTCCGCTGGATATCCGCACGGTTCTGGGTCACTCCCGTCCCGGGCAACCAAGGAGATGGCTTCGCCACTGCCGTGGTGAAGGGTGACATCCCTTGCGTGGAATAGCACTGGTCAAACACGGCTGATGGTATTTGGATCGTCGTTGCCGAAGGCCATCGTCGCAATGTCGACGATGCCAGAATTCGCTGTGACCCTAGATCTGAAATGCAAGGATCCGCCACCAACTGAATAAGCCAATATCCAGGGCGCTCAAGCCTGGGCCCTGTGCGCTCTACCACTCAAAGGTATCTGTGTGGCTCTGCGTGGGCATCTTGCCTCAATTGATCCTTGAATCGAGGCCTTTCTGGGCAGCTTGGCCCACGATCCATAAGGTGCCACCAACAACCACCTGTTTTGTGCGGTCCACAATCCATCACTACCTAGCTAGTTTCCGTTCGTGAAAGAGACACGGCGTTAGCTGTCTAGCCGTTTGCCTCGTGCCTAGCCGCTTCAAATTCCACAGCAAACCCAATTTTGCCAATCTGGTGTGGACAGCAATTCCCACAATCAGCCGCCGCTGAATGCGGTGCTAGGCTTCACCTTCTCTGTCGCGTTGTCAGGGGTTTTCAGATTCACCCTCTGTTGTTTCAACCGCACCAACAGAGGATAAAAAGCCTTGGCCCCAAAAATTTGGGGCCGGAGGGTAGCTCCGTTCCACCAGCCCAAAACTGAATTTCAGCTCTCAGCTACAGCGAACTACACAATCAGGGCGTTCGGAATGCGATTCCTATCGCCGCGCTTCCTCAGAGGCACCACGCCCATCTTCTGTCTCAATGGCGTGGATAGCTTTGCACGGGCGGCTCTGTTTTGCTGCCGCAAACGCATGCTCCTCGAAACGGCAAAAACGGCCGTTCCTGCAAAATCGTTGAAAAACCGATGGGTTTCTGGCAAGAGAGCCCTTGCTACAAAGTACTGCAAAATCATCAATACTAAACATATTAACTTCAAATTTTGGCCGTATACTCTCAAAAGGTAGATACAACTTTGGAAAAAATTCCACTGAAAAAACTATAATACATGATGGAGAAATGTTGCGTCAAATTCGTAGAGGACATTTAATATGGGACGGAGGAAGTAAAACTCTCTCGCCATGGCAATTATCTCTAGAAATGTTTCTCCCCATTCCAATTACCTTTTCGTTTTCCCATCATGACCGGTCCATGTTTTTTCATTCCTCATCGGCTCCTTGGCGCCTTAGGGAGGGCCGCCGGGAGCGAAGGGACGCGCGCCGATCGTGAAGGGTCCAGACGGCCTAGATCATATCGTAAATGGCGCCCAGCCGGGTACGTATTACGTCACAATACCAGATTATAACATGGCGATCACAGCAGCTTCCGAATGCCCAACATCTTTCGTGCCAGGTTCGTCCCAGTTATGCACTGTTGTTCCCGTTTTGCATGGAACGGAGGTATGCAGATGGCTTTTCATACGGAAACAAGCCCATTGTCCAAAGATTTTATTTAATTAATTTATTATGAATTTATTTAATCATTTTTGTTAAATATGTTTATTAATTAATATTAATGGATTTTATTAAATATTTCTATTAAATCTTACTGAAAATTTTGTTCTATGGTTTCAGTATCGACAGGTTGAAGGAGACCGCTTGTTCGCGATGTGTTGTGCTCTCATCGGTGATGAAATTCTGCAACTTTAAATTCATTTGGAGATTAAGATTCCCCATGACATATTTGTTTGCTGCGAAGCAGGCCCAAGCTTGGGCCCTACCTTGAGGTAATCTACAGTCAAGGATACGAACAAAAAAGGAATGGAGAGCTGCAAAGCAAAACAATCAAACGATTGGGAATGGGAAGGGCATTGCCAACTTGTGCAGACCATTTGTCGAAAATATCCAGCTTTTCGTGCTCCTGAATTTCCTATCCTCCGTGATTTCCACACGTCAGCGAATTGCCCAAAATTACTGACAATATCTAGACATACATGGTTTGCAATCGGTGGCACCGGCATCGAGATGACTCACATGTGCATTCTTAATGGGTTTGTGTATGCCTTCCAATGTTGGAAGGCGACCGCATAACGCCCATCTGCGCGTGCTTTTGAGT